GGAAAAGCTCAGCCGAAAGCGGCTTTCATCCGCTGTGTGCTCTGGTCCCCCTGGTGCAGGGCTGGTCATTTGGTACCTTGTACATGAGACTGTGCGTCTATTCGCTGAGCTCCTACACTAGTCCGATCTCTAAAGTGGCCCGGTGCGGGATTGTGTTATTATGTGGGCCTTCTTAGATGCGGCACACACGATATGCGCTACGTAGGAGAATTTATAGACAGTTACTTAAATGTTTGTTTCGCTAATAAATTAGAGCAAAGCAGAGGGGTTGTCGAACATCTTAGGAAGTGGCAGGTGGAGAGAGTGTTTCTAAATATTGAGAAAAGGGCATGATTGTGTAGGGCAGCCCCACGAATTAACCGATCTAAGTCTCTGAACTCTGGCAACATTTACAAACATGTGGAACAGCGGATCCATGCAACTATAAGGGCAAAAAAAGCAATGGCGAGAGGAGGAAAGCGGATCAGCGAGAGGTGGAGGGCTTCTATTGATGAAGCACTGTCTAAAGACGCGGCGCCCCCCCCGCCCCCATCTCGCCCAGCTGCAAGCGGAGAAACGCGAATGAAAAAAAGAAAAAGACTATTCCATTCTCACCCCGGTCACTGAAATCGAAGAGGAGTTGTAACGGCCTCAGTCTCTGGAAGTGTGCAAAATCATCCCCAGGAATGACCTTACATTAATGTACAAGATGACAATAAATGCATCAGAGTGAGGAATGGGGGATCGCTGTCGAGCAGTGGTACCGGACAATGGCATAGAATGAAGAGTGACCAAGCCTAAGGCCAGTCACCTTAGTAAAAAGAGACTGGCAGCTTAGGTAAAATGAAATGATAGAAAACAATATCGTGACGATGACGTCAGGACGGAGGATAGCCCACGGGGCCCCAACGTACAACGGACAAGGTCCTTATAGAGACAGAGAGAAAGGGCAGGAGGAGCAGGCAGGGAGTGGCTAAGGACCTGAGCCAAAGCCAAGGAGGAGAGCATGATGTACCATAGAGCCAGAAGCAGGAAGTAACAGATTCCTGTTACAGGCGTGAGCCACAGCGCCCGGCCTACAATTTATATTAATGTCTTTGTTAATTTGATAAGTGAAAAATTGCATTTTAAAGAAAAGGTACTCAGTTTTTGGTACTAAGTGAAATGCAAATTAAAGTAACAATAAGATACCACTAACCACTCACCAAAATGGGTAAAATGGAAAGGACTAACATTACTAAGTGTTGGTGAGGTAAGCAATGTGATTTCATACACTGATGGCAGAAGTGTAAAATTGGTACTATCACTTTGCAAAACTATCTGACATTATCCACTAAGGTTAAACATATATATATATATATATATATATATATATCCTCCCAACCCAGAAGTTCTACTTCAAGATACATCAGAAATGTTTGCATATGTGCACCAAAAGGTATGTTAATGGTGATATTATTTATAATAGCCAGAAAATGGAAAAAACTCAAATATCCATCAGTAGAATAAATTGTGGTACATTCATACAATGGAGTGTTTTTATAGAGATGGGGTATTGCTATGTTGCCTAGGCTGGTCTTGAACTCCTGGCCTCAAGCAATCCTCCTGTCTCAGCCTCCCCAACTGCTGGAATTAAAGGCATGAATCACTGCACCCATTCCCATTTTTTAAGTACATAGAGAAATGTTCTGTTTCTCTGATAATTAATCAACGATTTGTATCTTCTCTTTTGTAAACAGCTCATGTGTTTTGTTCATTTTCCTTTTGGTATCTTAAGTGTGTATTGTTTGCATGGGCTCTTTCTATGTTAACTATATTTACCTATTATCTTTATTACGGAAAACTTTTTCTATATTTTTGGTTTTCAGTTTCACTTATAATTTGTGAAAATTTTTCATTGTTTTACTTTTTGATACATCATTTACTACCAACATGCTCAGAAACCTTTTTCCATCCAGAGGTCAGAGAAAATACTAACATTTTATTCCAGTTTTTTAATGATTGCTAAATTTAATTTTAATAAAGTTATCTTAAAAATGAGCTTTTCTCTAATGAAGTGAAGTGATTTTTAAAGTATATTTCCTGTTTCTGAACTTTACTCAATTCTGTGGGAAAAAAAAGTGAAAAGAAAATAAAATTTAGAAATATTAAAATTTAAAAAAATAAAAAATAAAATAATAAAGTACATTTCCTCACAAGTAATGAAAGGTAGTAGGTGTTCAAGATGCACTTGTTGATTGGCTTCTCTTGTTGCTCTCTTAAACCTTTACTATTTTAAAAATAGCTTGATGTTCAAATGAAAAGCATGCAAATTAAAATTCTGTTAATAACAGAAGAGATGCAGAAAATCTGAAATGTCACATTTTATTTTATTTTATTTTTTTGAGACACAGTCTTGCCCTGTTGCCCTGGGTAGATTGCAGTGGCATCATCATAGCTCACTGCAACCTCAAACTCCTGGGCTCAAACAATCCTCCCACCTCAGCCCCTCAAGAGTGCTAGGATTACAGGTGTGAGCCACCGCACCCAACCAAAATCTCACATTTTATTAAAAAGAAAATGTCAGTTAAAAAATTAAGTTTAAAAAACTCTTGGCTATTTGGGAGGTGCTAGAAATGTCCTCTATCTTGAATGGAATGGTGGTAGTTACAGGGTGCAATGTATATAAAAATCTGTTGAGCTATATATCTAAGAATTGCGTATTTTACAGTACAGTGTTTTAGAAACTGGCAATTGTGAATAATCAAGTTGCTTTTAGTTAAATTTTAAAGCCAAATGTAATATTTTTATAATACTGCACTTCAAGATTCAGAATGAATATTCAGTATTTATTATATAGTGTTAGAAGTTCTGAGTAGCACTTAAAAATACTAGGAGAAAAAAAAATCACCACTACCACCACTGTGATTGTATACCTATTCCAGGTTAGCTCTGTCAAATGAGAGAAATTTAAGCTTTGAATGCATGAATTATATTTCAAAGAAGCCAGTAATACTCCAATTCAACATAATCTCTAGTACATAGAGCAAAAATTGGAAGTTAGAAGGGTAGATCTAAGGTGAAGATAGCATAGAACTTGTCCTCAGGAAAAGGCATAATGTTTAAAAAAATAATTATGCAAAGAGCCAAATAATAAAGGACTCTTTGCTGAGGAACCGACTAGACTGGGAACTTGATTTCATGATCCTCCGTGCCACTGCTGGAGGCCCTGAATGGGAGGACACCTGCTCTTACTGTACTGGCTAAGCCTGGTGCTACTACAGGTACAAGACCTCCCTGACCCTTCTCCTAACTGTGAGCATCAGGGACAATCCACAGCTGGGCAGAAGACCTTGTCAGAGGAGACTCAGTTATAGTATTTCAGTAAATTAAAGTATAGTAAATTAAATTTAGTAAATTAAAAAAGAGTAGAAGCCTTCTTTGAACTGTAAAGAACTATACAAATGGTAATCATTGTTTTTAGAACTGCTCAAAAATATAGTCCTTCAGTTCTGTGATCCTGAAAAAACTATTAAAGTGTGTCCTGTTTACATCACTGTCCATAAAGCAACTTTTACATTTACATAGATAGCTAGGTGAGGTGTGGAAAAGCTCCCCGGATATTTTATTTTATCCTCTTTATTTCTTCTTAGAATATAATACTTTATACATACAAAACAATGGAAGTACTGTAACATACATTAATGTACAAATGACAATAAATGCAATCAATACCCATGTATCAACTACCAGACTCAAAAATGAAAACACAAACCAAACCATGGTTCTACCAAAGTTTTCATAGGTATTTTTTTTTTTAAATTAGAGACAGAGTCTTGCTCTGCTGCCCAGGCTGGAGTGCAGTGGCATCATCATAGCTTACTATCACCTCAAACTGAGCTCAAGCACTCCTCCTGCCTCACCCTCCCGAGTAGCTGGGACTACAGGTGCCACCACACCTGGCTAATTTTTTTATTTTCATAGAGACAGTCTTGCTATGTTGGCCAGGCTGTTCTAAAATTTCTGGCCTCAAGTGATTCTCCCACTTCAGCCTCCCAAAGAGCTGGAATTATAGGCATGAGCCACACACCAGGCCTTTTCCAGGTATTTCTGATATGACCTACCCTCTCCCCTCATTGGGAGCTGCTGGCCCACAAAATGAAGTTTAAATTAATTGGCACAAGACACACATATAATATATACGTGGGCCTGGGAAAGTGCATTCACCTGAAGTGGGTGCCTCGAATGCTATGTCGAGAAGGAATGGAGGCCTGGTGTAGGTCAACAGAAGAGAACAGTGCTGCAGGTGGAACAAGTGGTGGTGGCTTGTGGGCCTGACCCCTGCCAACTCCTTCAGCCTCATCTCCTTTCCAAAAACCTACTCTGTTCCAATCCCCACGAACTGTTATTACTTAAGCAGCCTCGTGGTTCACGGTTTTTGTATTCTCCGTTACATGTACTGCTCCCTTTACCTGGAACACCGTCCCTACCTTTTTTTCTTGAATGATTATACATCCTTTAAGTCCCAGGAGGCTTTCCTTGACCTCCTCAAAAAGACCTGGCCACATATTTTTCTGTTATGTTCTGGCACCTCTATCATAAAAATTACCCAGCTTCAATTATAATACTTGTTTATATGTCTGTGACTCCCACTGGACTGGAAACTCATGCCTCCAGAAGGTAGGAACAAAACTCATTTAGCTTTATATTCCTAATGTACAAAGCAGGTACTTAAATACTTTTTCAAGGCAGAGACAAATATAATGTGAAATAATTATAAAAATGTTTTAACTGTATTATGCAAATTTCTTTCAAGTTTAATCTACAAAACTAATTCAAATACAAATGGAAGAAAGAAAGAAGACAAGCTGATGAAGGGAAAAGGGGATTAAGAATATCAGGGAGGAAACGCTCAAGGAAGAGTTTACAAACATACATAGCACAGTAACATTTCACAGAACAGATAAAATCTGTATGAGGCTTGTTCAATATTCTTAGGTTTGATTTCAGCATCCCTTTGGAATACAATGAAAATTACTTACTGGTTATAGAGCTCTGGATGCCTAACCAGGTTCTGAATAAATTCATTCAGTCCTGCTCTTCTTTGTTTAATAAAGTCTGTAAGAGAGATATAAGATATTAGGATTATTTATGTCAGATTATGTAACTGTCATCAATACAGTCATATAAGAATAGACAGGTATAGATAGTAAATTTTGATTAAGAAGCTATTTCTCAATTCATGCTACTTGATTACAATGAGGAATAAATGCTTAGAAATATATACATAAATCTATAAATACAATAATTAAAAAATTAAAATAAAGCAGATAATATCTCCCAAAAGAAAATACTGCCTATTTGGGATTCTAAATAGACTCAACTACAAAACTTAGAGAAGCACTTTGTCCAACTCCTCATGTACTACCAGCAATGAATAAAAATTAACACTACAACACTGATAATGCCATCATACTAACTTTTAAAAAAACAAACAAGAAAAATAAGGATTAGTGTAACTAGGGAATGGTGATTAATTGGTTAATTGAGTATCACCAAAACTCTGGTTCAACTCCCATTGTTAAAAAATCCTTGAAAATGCATGGGCACACTCACCTCACATATAATTGTCCAGCATCTCCAAAGTGTTTTATGTGTTGATAATTGAGGCTCATGCAACAGCAGGTTAGCAATAAATATTAAGTACAAACCTTTCTTAGAATTAGAAAACTTTACTCCAGTATCTTTGCTCTGCTACTTAACTAGCTAACTGACCTTGAACCTTTCTAAGGCTTAAATCCTTACTTGTAAAATGGGGATAATAACAGTATTTATATGTCAAAATGCTGTTATATGATTAAATGAGATATGTATGTAAATTTATTAATATAAAAGAATGTCTGGCAGACGATAAGGGTGCAATCATCAGCTACTATTATTTTTCCTGTTGTTATTAGTGGTGGGATGAAAGAGCCATCATCCTAAACCCTAATTCTTAAGAAATATACTCTAAAAACTGAAGACATGTGACTTGAGAAAGTGTCTCTTAATGGTGAATGTCTGGATAAAAACCTGTGAACAGTATTTCACTTAATAAATATAAAAAATGAATTTTGGTTTAGTAAATCTACTCAATAAAGGTTTTAATGTACACTGTCCCCCAAATGATGGGCTATTTTCAGCAATGTAGGTTTATTTCCGTTTCTTAAGTATAAACTATGGCTGCTAAAGAACCAATATAAAATTAGGTCTGGTCTTTTGGATTGAGATGCACTTGGTACTTTTCTTGTTCAACTATGAATTCCGTGAAGAATTTCAAGTAAGTATCTTGCAAAATTCTTTCAAGGACATTTTTCACATCACCAGACAGTAAAGCACACATGAGGTTTACATTAAAAACTGCACTTGAAAGATGGTTATCTCTTGAGAGCTGGACTTAGAAACATACGAGGAAGAAATAAAATGAACGACGACATTTGGAATATTAAAATCTAATGACGATATGGAAACAGCTTTAAATTGTTCTGTGGATACTTACTGAAGGTATGTTTTACTTTTGGAGACCAGTATGAAAAAAGAGGGAATTTCCTTTTTTCAATGAACTATAAGCCCATGCTGTACCAAGTGCTACTGACTTTCCATTTCATTACTAACCCTAAACAGTTTTGAAATCCCTATGTAAAGCCCTATTTAACAAAGAGAAAGAAAGAAGTTGGTAATGTAACAAGAAGTTCAATAGTAGTCAGAATTTAGGAGCAATTCCAAGCTCAATTTTTTTTAGATTGACATTAAGCATGCAAATATCTGAAAAAATTTCAGGTAAGACTAAAACATATACCAGGCCATTACAGGATAAGTGCCACGAATTTATATAAGGCTGATATATTAAGAATTATAGTTATAAATATGCATTTTTGAAAATCTCTCTAGTGAAGAACTTACATGAACGTATCTGTTGTAATTCAAAAGAAATTTCAATTAGAAATTCTGAAAAACCCTGAAGGCAAGATGTCTTGAGATCATCTTGTACATTTCTTGCCCAGAGTCTGAGATCACCATTTTTCCATGGAATTCTGGTTCCTTTGAGAGGGAAATGGTATTTAAAGATCACAACACTTGAGTGCTAGGACTGTTGATTGCTACTTATTTGTTGTTGCTTTTAGGCATTTCCAGGAGAGAGTACTAGGAAATATGTACTGTTCGAAAAAGTAAAAAAAAATTATGATTTCATATTATATTTCCAAATCAAGTTGAAAATTATAGGACTTTTACTTAAAATCTTTGACTTTATATTTATAGTATCTCTTTCCTCTTCTGTTTAAAATCTTGGTTCCCATGACATTAACATAACTACAAAATAACAACTCTATATAACTTACTATTGAATGTCATGTAAAATTTCTTTGCAGGTTTTTGTTTTTGTCCTTGACATATATCCCATGAGGAGTATATAGTCAATATCTTATTATTCTAATTATTAATTATTCTATGTGTTTACACCACCAATCAAAATACAGTTAGGGTTTTTTAAATTTTCAATTGTTACAGATTGCTTTGTTATTGCATTTTTATTTTTAAATTGTTTAAAATGTACACATGGTTCCAAAGTCAAAGCCATAAACAAGATTTACTCAGGGACATTTAACTTCCATCTCTGTTGCCTCCCCTGGCCTCTCCCTCCTCCCTGCAGTTTTATTTGTTTTTGATTTATTCTTCTATTATCTCCTTTTGAATGCCCCTACACTTTCCTACACAAAAAATACACACTATACAAAAATCATCTGCATGTTGCTTTCTTCCACGTAACAATATATTCTGGACATTATTCCATAGCGATGCATAAAGAGCTCTTTTATTCCCTTTTACAGATACACTACATTCTAAAATTTTCACTTGTTTCCAGTTTTTGCTATTAAAAATTGTGTCACAACACATAGTCTTATATGTACATCATTTCATATGCAGTTTATCTCTGGGATAGAGTCCTAGAAATGTGATTTCTTGGTCAAAGTAAAATGCACAGAGTTTTGCTAAATATTACCAAATTCCCCTCAACATGGATTGTACCACTTTGCATTTCCACCAGCAAAATATGAGATTGTCTGTTTCCCCCCAAAAGCTTAACCAAACAGCCTTCTTACCCATCTTTGGATTTTTACATATGACTTAGATTCAATTTCCCCAATGTAGGGCTTTCCAAGATCTCTGTGACATACAATCTAGTTCACTGTTGCTAAGTCATGTATAATATGCTCAGGATAGATTTCAAATGGCTCTTCAATAAAAACCAATTTTTAGTGTCAAATAATTAATTCATCAAAACATAAGTACCACAGGGCATTCAGTCTGCTATCTTGTCTTTAACAACGAAGCAGCAATGCTGTAGGTCTTTTACTTCTTTGCCTCCTTTCCTTGACAAAACAATTCTGTCTTAAGCATTCAACAAAGGGCTCTAGAGAACTCCAACCCAAGTTCAATTCTCATATTATCACTAACATGCAGTTTGATTCTTCTTAATGTCTTTCTGCCACTTCACATTAATTAATTTTCTCAGTCAAGCATGTCGGACACTTCAGTTATCTCTCATTCTCTTCTTTATGTCTCATTACCTAGGTAATCATCGAGATTTCTTACAGATTTTTCATTGAAAGAGCCTTTGGAAATGGCTCATTTTTAACCCTATTTCCACTCTAGTCCCCATGCTCATTATCTATTAATAATACCAGGACTGTTGGGAATATTCCCTTAACCAGGCTCCCACTCTCTGTTTGGTCTCTTCTGTTGTGCCTACTACACAGTATACACTGCTAGTTTCACATCCTGTTACCACCTCACTCAAGTATCACTAAGGCCGACATACTGCCCATAATGATGCTTTTCAACCTGTGCTCCAAGGAGATACTTTATTGCTGCACCAACAAAGCAGCTCTGTTTTTTATGTTTCATGTATTACATTTTCTATGTAATATTTTGATTGGGAAAAAAGTGTTCTGCTACAAAAACAAAACAAGAATACCAAGGCCACTGGCCTATAGAATATAATCTGGCTTTGTTGGCCAACTCAATTTCCTTTTGCTTCTCTTTATTAATAGATTCATGTCTTTAGTAATATTTTAAAACCTAGTATTTGCCTGGTACTATAAATCAATTTAAAATATGACATAGTCTTCACCTTCATGAAATGTACAGCCTACTACAGGACAGATTAGCAATGATAATGAAATGTGCTGTATTCTCCCAAGAGAAAAAAATTCTCTATATAACCAGGGAAGTAAGTACATTTTCCAATCCTGAGGTTCATAAAGTGTAAAGAATAAGAAACCTCCAGTTGAGAAGGCTATAGGGGATGATTCAGCAGCCTCAGGGGAAAAAATAAGGTTTTAATTAAAGCAAGAATATGAAAGAAATATGAAAAATATGCAGGATAAAGAGCAGTTTGTTAATCATGGGCAGAATTCCACAGGAGACAGGGAAAAGCTCTGGGAGGGAAAGGAATGGTATAAGGTCAGGTTGGAGAGACAAAGCACAGTCAAGATAAGTGATTTCAGAGTTTTTATCTTGAATAGTGACCAAGAAAGCAGACATGTAAGGTGTTATAGATTTAAAGGGTTACAAGCAATTTGTTGGAGAGGGAGGGCAATCCATTCAGGAATCATCGTGGCACAGAGAGAGATGACTCTTCCGATGGATTCCTGGAGGATAAGGAGACTTCTCTCTTTCTGTAAGTAGCCATTTGTAACCTGGATTACTCTACTCTCTTGGATTCTAGGGAAAAGTTCCAGGATTGAAGCTTCAGTCACAGAGGCACTAGATTCCTGAGACCTGTGTATCAGCAGGCTCCCCAAGGATGAGCAAGAGGATATCTTTTCGGTATCCCATTCAGAGGTGTGCAAGTTGCTATGCACAGGGTATATGTTTAAAAAATGTTTCTGACCATAGAAATAAATACCCTTCCTGGCACTGTTTAAAGTTAGAAAAGTACCCCAAATTACCCTTAATGATTGCTAAATTTATCTGAAGATTGCTTGAATTTAACTTCCAAATCTGCCATTTACCATCTATATGTGACCCTGAAAATATCAATGAACCTAACTGTGCCTCAGTTTCCTTATCTGTAAAATAATGATAACAATAATATCCACCTAATAGGGTTGTTGTAAGGACTGAATGAATTAAAACACATGAAGTGCTTAAAACAATGCCTAGAATACAGTAAACACCTTCCTGAAGCATTTTTTTTTCATATAGCATGAGATCAATTAGTTTTTTTTACAGTCCTGCATTACTATATAGTGCAATGAATATGTTAACTACTACTTCAAACTTCAACCATCATTTAATGACGTTACTGCTTACCTGGATCAAAGTTATCACCAAATATTCTCTTGGCAGGAATCTTCAGGGGCATAGCAGGAAATTGTTTCTTTAACTAAAATTTTAAACAATAGTATTATATGAACTAATTTTATAAGTTTCTAGTTATACATGCACCAAAACCAACTATAATCTGATTTTAAAGAAAACCCATTATAAGACATAGTTTTAAATATATGATCATCCAATGTATGATATTAAGTTGTACCAATAAAACACCACAGACTGACTAATTATCCTATTTTGCCCCAATAAAACACTTAGTATCTGTGTAAACTTGGATAAGTTACTTAACATCTCTGTGCCTCAGTTTTCTTGCCTATAAAATGGGGATAATTTGAGCAATTCTCTTACAGATTTCTTGTGGGGCTTAAAGGAGATCATGTGTTAAGTGCTTGGACTAGAACCTGGTGTATAAGTTCTGAATACATGTTACCTACCACTTATTACAGTAGGAGAAGATGCGATCTTTGTGTTCTCTCTACATGAATAGATTAACATTAGTTTTCTAAAAAAGCTGAATTTTACTTTCAATACCATCTGCTCTAGCCTTCTTCTTATTAATATTCTAAATACATTTATAGCAGGTTTGCTTATTCTCAGAGAAGATAAACTTGACCCTGAAGAAATTAAATTTGGGACCGTAAAGTCATAAAAATGGGTTATATTCATTATATAAGCTTGATGTAAAAAATCCACATGCACATATAAAAACTACAGCTCTAACTACCAACTGACAGGGAATAGAAGAATGTATTAATCACTCTACACTGTGGGCATACTGTCAGCAAAATCCAAACTGAAAAATCTGTTACACACCTGCACTCAAATGTTTATAGCAGCACAATTCACAATTGCAAAGCTGTGGAAACAACTCAAGTGCCCATCAATTCGTGAGTGGATTAATAAAATGTGGTATATGTACACCATGGAGTACTACTCAGCTTTAAGAAACAATGTGGATATACACCTCTTGTATATTCCTGGTTAGAGCTGGAACCCATTCTATTAAGTGAAGTATCTCAAGAATGGAAAAACCAGCACATGTACTCACCAGCAAATCGTATTAACAGATCAACACCTAAGTGGACATATAGGAGTAACATTTATTGGTGTCGGAGGTGGGAGGGGAGGAAAGGATAGGTATATACAACCAAACAAGTAAGATGTGCAACGTTTGGGGGATGGACTCGCCTGAAGCTCTTAATCAAGGGGGAAGGGGACATGGGCAATATATATATAACCTAATACTTGTACCCCATAATACACTAAAATAAAAAAAATAAATAAAAAACAGAAGGAGACCAAGGAAGGGGTTCAGAGGTCAGAAGTTGGCTGAGCCTGCTGGAAGAATAAAGATTATTCTACTCTTAAAAAAAAAAAATCTGTTAAAAAAAGACCCTGGTTTTTTTCACAAAAAATTTGTAAAGAAAAGAGCAGAGGGAAATTTAGTGATTAAAAGACCAGCCCCATAAACACTAACTGGATATTGATATTAAGGCATTACTGTTCATTTATTTTCAGATGTGATAATGATTTTGTGTATTTTGGGTGTATGTGTGTATGTTTTGTTTTAAGAATCTTTACCTTTTAGAGATGCATACTAAAATATTTACAGATAAAATGACAGGATGTCTGACATCTGTGTCAAAATTATGGTGGTCTGGCTAGGGATAGAAATGAAACAAGAATGGTGATGTATCCATAATTATTGAAGGTGGACGGTATGGTAGTATTATATTATTTTCTGTATTTGTACAGGTCTATCTAATTCTGTATGCGTTTGACAATTTCTATAATAAAAAGTTAAAAATAGAAACTATAGTCATAAAAGACACATTTAAAAGCTACAATTAAAATGCTTATAGATTGGAAATTTTACTTTTGCAAAAAAAAGAATAGTGAAAGAATTTGTGTTTTCAAACTTAGGGAAATCCAGGCCAGGTTTAACCTGGTTTCTGCAGTTTTGAAGAACACAACTGATAACATTTTGCTGTTTTATTTCCTTGCCTCTCACCACAGGAGACAGAGTTAGGAATTATATAAAAAGACAGAGAGGTAAACACAGAAAATGATGAAGTAAGAAAAAGATGAAAAATAAAAAGGAAGAGAAATACAAGAGCCATGAGAGATCTCCACACTGCTGAGTTTTTGGATGACACTC